GCAATTTTAAGTTTTAAAACTTCTCAAATTTCCAACAATCCCCCACAAGGTTTAAAACTTAAAATGTATGCATGTATACTTATATATAAAATAGGGCACTAATATTGTGCAATGGGTGTAGGAGCCTTCCGAGCTTGAGCCTACACTTAGTGTTGATGATTTCCATTTGAGGGAACGGTAATGGCGCAAGCGCTTTGAATTACGTCCCTTCACCAAACTTCAATGCATCACACACACAATATCGATATCGGTTCAGTTCAAGCGGGTTAGCGCGTTAACGGCCATGCGCTCTAATCTTGATTCTCATGAAAGTTTCTAGGGTTAGCCCAAACCCATAGCCACGGCCTCATGGCAACTTTTCACTTAGGTGAAACCTCCAAGGGTACGTATGACCTCCACCCTACGGTATTCCCGCTTTGGTTTCATTAAGGGTTAAACCCATCCTTATCGTCACACTATAAAGCACTATCACCATAGGGATGGGAAGGAGGTGCTCTCCTCATAATTTTAATTTAGTGCTTAATGAGTCACACATCTACGGGTTGTTTCTACCACATTGAACCTTCTTCATGGGGTCTCCAATCACAAAGGTTGGGTTACTCCCGGAGGTGACTCACTTACGGGCTTATGCCCATCCCCCTCGATGAATTTTAACATCCTTGTAGGATGAATCTTTAATAGATCAATGATCATTTCTTTCGAAATTTTAATTTGATCAATGATTTTTACAACCTTAGATGGAAGATCTTTAAGAAGTGTTTCAAACTTTACTGTTGAGAGAATATCATATTTCTATTCAACTGATACTCAATACTTTGGCAACCTATTTATAACATCTAAAAAGACTCATTTTTTCACAAGGAAAATCACTCTTACCTAAGCTATAATAAGGAAACTAATACATAAGAAAATTCTAGCTATAAATAAATCTAAAATAGTAGAAATATATTAAATCCTAATATAAAAACGTAATTTAATTAAATACAAACTCCAAACATCATGTCGATCACACGAACACTCTTCATAACTCGAGTAGACACTTGGTTGTGCACGTTTGTTAACTTCAAGCTAGATTCCTGACCTCTTCCGCACCAAATCGCTCTCTGATCAAAACATCAAAGTTTTATATCCTTAAGTTGGCTTTCCGTAGCAATTCTAATCACTTTAATTCAACTTCAGATGAGAGATTAATAAGCCAAATAGTGTACTCTGCCAGAATTATACGGGACTTTCGGGACGTATGAAATTCGACTTGTCCAACGAATTTCCCTCTTCTTTTTCTTCCAATTCCACACCACTACTCTTCAATCAACTCCCTTGTGTTGATTCTTACCATTACGAACACGAACAACTTCATTAAATTCGCACGCTTTCTCTTCTTCCAATTCTTCGTGTTAGAGTTAGTTAGGATCATATCATACTCCCTCTCTTCAAAAGAATTCGTCATCGAATTCGATTCCTTTTAATGAGCGTATAGTTTTGAAAGCGAATCCATGAGGCAGAAAGTTCTTCGCTGTATCTGGAACTTTTTTTTTTATATACGAACAATTAATAATGAAATTCCCCATCTAATAAACAAGATTAAATTTTCCTTGTTAGCACTCAGACCTAACGTTTATATAGAAACGCAAACCGGAAGTACGGAACAACCAACTTGACCCAATGGCTATATAGAACCACGAACCAAAGTTATAATGTTGACGCCACAAGAAAGAAACGTAATAGAGTTCACGAGATTCATGAATAACAAAACTCACTCGTTCTTTTTTTTCGATTTTTTTTATGGACTCTAGACAAAACCTAACTTAGACTCAAAGAAACTTCAAACAAAAAATAAATTTCGATTTTTTTTTTCTTTTTTATTTGTTTATGGACTCTAAATAGACAAAACGAAAGACTAAAGACTCAACAACAATAGAAACGAAACAAAAAATAAAACAAAGACACGAAAACAAAGACTGACACAAAAATAAAGATAAATGATAGGCGAAACCTTCTTAGGAAGATGGCTCTGATACCAAATGATACAAACCACGCCAACCATATGACGAGACCCGATATCAATACTTCGGATTTCAAATCATGGACCGTCCTAAAGAAGGAATTGTTAGAGTAGGTGACCAACAAGCTAACATGTGGATGTGGTCTTTCCATTTATTCTTGTAATAAATAAACATTTTTCGCATTAACGATAAAAACACATTGGCATTCTATATCTTTGTCCCTTTGCCACAAACATAGATATAGTCATTATAGTTATTACAAGTACTAGTAATTGATCTTTAGGATCGTCAGATATTTACTTTAGTATTATAACTGTTAAACGTGTTCCTAGTTGAAGGGTTACGCCACCAATGAGGATATCGGCCTTTCCATTAAGAGACTAGCACTTAGTGTATGTGTACTCCATATTAAATAATGTGTCCATAAAATGTTAACTCAATCTTAGGTATTTAAATCCAGGAGAGATATATAATTTCAACCTCGAGAATTTCTCGTTCGAGGGAGTTTTGCAAACTTGATCCCGGGAATTTAACATCCGAGAGATATGTACATGTTACACAATTAGTAGACATATCGAATTAACTTTGAAATATTACCAATATCATCAGGGGTGTATAAGCTCGACATTGGGAATATTTCTTCCAAGGGAGTTTTACTAACTTAAACTCGGGAATAAATCGTCCGAGCTAGAGAGTCCTAAATTTTTATTTGGGGAATATATAATTAAGCTCGACCTCAGGAATGTATCGTCTGAGGGAGATATTATAAACTCGATCCCCGGTGTATGTCGTCCGAGAGAGATATAAATTTTATCTTAGAAATTAGCTCAATCTCGGGAATATATCATCCGAGAGAAGTATTTAAATTTGACATCATTTATATTTATCTCGAGAAAATATTATATACTTAACCTCGGGTATATGTCGTCCAAGGGAGATATGTCCATAAATAAATAAATTCAATCTCGAAAACCATTACATCGAGAGAATTATATCGTAATCATTAAAAAATATTACCATGCATGATTTCAATTATATAACTTTTACTCATAAGCCAAAATATATTTTGTAGGTAATAAACTCATGAGTTTTAATTTATTTTAACTAAATGATTATCTTGGTGAAAATATCTACATCTACTCTAGTCAATTTAAGAACATCTCGACGAGGACTATCTTTCACATCGTCGTTCTAGGCCTAACCTCATATTTAATTTTATTATGACCTTTCAATAGACCATTTTACAAAAATGTCCATCGTTTATATGGGTACATCACCCAATTAATTTTATTTTAATTACCTTATTTGCCTTTGAGCGGAATCACAACTTTTAATGACTTTACGGGCATCACACCCAGAGTTTTATTTACGACTTCTATATCGGCCATTATTGGAGACTACGAAGTCCACCATCTCTACGAACATTATGTTCGGAGTTTATTTTAATGAAATGCTATTTGCGGTCACAAAATTTATATTCGCGGTTTATAACAAAACCCCCCAAAACTTTTAAAAATATCCAAAAAACCCCCCAAAACTGCAAATAGCAAAAAAAAAAAAATCGAAAATTCGAAATCAAGCTTGAAGAAGGGTTGGGCTTCGATTTTTTGATGTAATTTCGACTCTTTTATGTGTAATATGCATTGGGTAGGTCGATTACAGAACCAATTTCATGTTAAAAAGCCCTACAAATCTATTTGTAGGGCTTTTTTTTTAACTTAATTTCAAATTAATAACCTTACAGGTTGACCAATTAAGTAAAGCACGTATATGTGAATCTTGTTTCCATAAACTCAAATAATAAATTATCAAATTCAATTGATTTTAACCGGCCAAATCATTTTATTCTCACGAAAGATGCAAAACAATTTTCATGCAACCCTTTAGTTTAGGGGAGGTGATAAATGTCGTTTCAGTTTTCATAATGTCGTTTTGACTTCAAACGTGATCTTGACCATTTTCGAGTTTGAATTTGGCAAAATTCAGAACATGGAATTTGTAATTCATTGAGTTAGCATTCTAATCTAATTTGAATCGCCAAGATTGGATGTCGGTTGAGAAAGTTATGCATGAATTAATAAACACTGCCCACAACTTTGATGTTTTCAATTATGTAAAATTTAAAACGTAACTCATTCATGCATAACTTTGTCATCCGACATCCAATCTAGGTGATTCATGTTGGATTAGAAAGCTATCTCAAAGGACTACGGTTTCTGTCTTTTGAACTTTGCCAAATTCAAAATAGAAAATAGTCAAAATCACTTTCGAAGTCAAAACGACATTGGTAAAATTAAAACGACATTTATCATTTCAGTTTAGAAAATAACCAATTCATAACCATTTATACATCTACTCTGAATCTAAATTATTTCCATGTCCTAAAGAAGTAATGAATGATATGCAGAGATATTTTTTTTTTCTCCTCTTCACAATCAATGGACACATAAGTATATATAATACATCATTTCCTTCCTCTTAAAATTGGTGGTGTATAAAATACCGTAGTATTCGCTTCACTATTTAATATCGAGGATTTGGATTTTTATAAAATAACATAAATGAAAAATAACATAAACAAACATACATAACCCATTTTTTTTTCTCGTGCTGTGAAATAATTCCTTAGCTCGTTTATCGATTATACGAAATTGAATTCAATAGAGATATAATATTACTCATTTGCAATAGGTGGTTATGGTTTGAGAAATGCATGATGAAATTCCCACTATGGCAAATTAAATAGAAATATATAAATAAAAATAAAAATATAATTGTGTATTTGTGTTGGTGAAAAAAATAGACACAATATAGAAATTCTAGAGCAAAAGATATTCTTTTATTAAAGGTATAGTAGTCTTTTTACAATACAAATTTATTCCTCATATTTAACATAAGAAAATGGTTAGTCACTAAGGACATATGTCCACACCTAGTTGTTCGTTGCTATAAATAGTTGCAGATGTAACACACATGTCAAAAAGCCATATTTTCCAATGTGCTAAATGACCATAATTTTACAATACACCGTGTCTCCATATGCGTAAATGACCTTTCCTTGTAATAATAATTAAAAGAAAAAAAAAAAAAGAATTAAGCGTAATTTCAATTTGTCAAAACCCAGCAATCTTCGCCGCCTGAACAGTTCGCCGTTAATTTGGTGTACAATTAAATTATCCCCCAAAATTTTCACATACATCAAACACTTTAGCGCGTCTTTGCAAAACCTCTTGAATTACACCACGATGACACCGCCACCCAGCCCCTTGAATTGAACAACGCCGCGAGACGATACATATGGATATCACCACCGCCTCATCCTCCGCCTCCGCTTCTTCAGAGTCGCTCATTCTACGAGCTCTAATCGATAGAGGCTGGCGTTTCAGAGACACTGAACGAATTCGAGGACTCATTACAGATCAGTTATCGATTACGTCCACTGTCGATTCTATTGAAAGAGAGGTTCTCAACTTGGACTTGAGATCAATTGGTGGGCCCGAACCTTCTCTTCTTCGCAAAACTTCCCATCTTCAGGGCCCTATTGTTCTTCAGGTACTACTCTATTATTTATGTATTTCTCCAATTACCCATAAATAAACTGTTTGCAACAAACTGATGTTTGCATTTTTTTTTTTTTTATGTTTCAGTTGTCTTTAGGTCTTTTAAACCCCCAATTTTTGTTATAAATTTACATGATTTTGAAGCTATTAGTGCTATTCCCTTTCTTTGTAGTTATTTATCAGTATTAGTTGAAATTTAAATACTACATTGTTTCTATTCTGCATTTCTGCTTCCAAAATTCATATTCATTATAGCAATCGTTGATGCTCGTTTTACTGCATTTTCATGAAAGATTTCAACTACTCGTAGCCTTTGTAAATTTAAATGGACTAAGATGTGTCTGTATTGAACAGGTTTGCTCAATTAGGGATATTTCCCGAAGTAGTGTAGCTGATGCTGCAGGAAATTCGGGTAACAGACGGTTATTAAGGTTGAAGCTCACTGATGGATATTCCGAAATAACTGCTGTTGAGTACTCTAATGTGCCATCAATTACTGAAGATGTTAGCCCCGGGACTAAGGTTTCCAGTCTTTTCAACTTTCTCAAGCCAATCACGTTGATGCATGTTTTATGGATAAATTAATTGAATTGATTTACTTTTGGATCACTTATCAGCCGATTGCCAGAAACTTTAAATATTATGTGTGCGTTTGTGTTAGTGTTTGTGTGTGTGTGTGTGTGTGTGTGTGTGTGTGCGTGCGTGCGTGCGGGGGGAGGGTGTTTGGCTGGGCTGATGAGATGGTTCTATGACTTTAAGACAAGTACTGGCATTTTGAAATTGCATTATTGCTTTTTAAATCTTGACGTCATAATGAGATTCAGGTTTTTATGTGCAAATACAACAACTTTTTTCCAGATTACTATCAGTTGGATTAATAGGTAACCCGAAAAGGGTCTTAACCGTAGGCATTTTTATGTGAAGAGTGATCAGAACACAGATAATTTGTTTATGTGGCCTCTTTAATGACGATTGATGCAGATAATTACATGTTCTATTGTCTTTTCGCCTCATGTTTGGCCATATACGGCTAACTAACAGATCAGCTCAAATTAAAATTTATGTTGAAGCTAAATAACCAGTCTACGGAACAGTGTTGTAAAACACCATTTTGGTTATGGCATGGAAACTGCATGTAACGGGGATACTCTCTTTAGATTAAGTCCTTGTCTGCTTGGTGAGATAAGCCATCACTAATTAAATAATTAGGTCTTATTTGATGTATGGTTAGTGCAGTAACTTTCGGGCGGGCCTGCAATTATGGAAAATTCTTATCTTTGCTTATGGGGGGTTTTGAATTGGACCTACCATAGCCCAATTAGCATAGTATGTTTGAACTTCAGAGTATCCTATTTTTTTTCTTGAATTTCAGGTCCGAGTGCAGGGTAAAGCTCATATTTATAGCAGCATTTTGTGTTTGAACGAAAAGACAATTACCGTTTTAGGGGGTGTTGTTCAGTCACTTAATGAAGAATGGCTATTGAAGCGCAAGTATATGGATGTTCCACGCAACACCTTAAGGCTCTCGCAAGAAAATTCATCAGATTGTCCTCCACCTTTTGAAAAGCTCCAAATTCGGGCATCGGTGCAAGGAACTAAAGGAATGCATGCTTCTGCACACACTACAGGTGCACGATATATTTAGGATTTAAAATTTCATCTAAAACATGTTTTTCTGCCGAAGAACTTTAAATGATTAGTTGTTAAAAGCATTTTAAAACTTGTAATCATTTTCTGGACCACAGGGTTTTCTGCTACATCATCGAAGGACTTGAGACAAAGTATGGCTGTAAAAGGTGAATCTTCAAATTTGAGTGACACTTCCCGGTTCCTGAAAAATAATGCAACCATGGATAGCGTAACTAATGATGCCAAGCTGCTTCACAATGTTGGTGAGAACACTGAAAAACCAACCGCCCCAGCCAGACCAAAAGGTGTGTCTTAATTTAAGATAAGCTGGAAAATGTGTTCAGTGATTTTTTCGGCTATCAAACTGATTCTTAAGTATTATAAAAACAACAAAAGTGAGTTTTAGAAGGTTTAATTTTACACATACAATTGCATGGGACAAACACGGTTACTGAAAGTTTAATGTCTCATGCATATGACGGCATGATGATGAACACTAATTGGATACAATCGAATTTCATCGTAAAATTAGAGTTGATGGGCTTTTTTTGTTCAAACAAAATAGGAACGATTCAAGGAAGTAAAGTAACTACATAGGGTCTCATTATCTTTAAAAATATGCTTTCCGATTGATTCCTTGCCAGATGTATATGCTTATATAACGTATTTAAGGGGACATTTTGGTGCTGGTTTAAAACTTCAATCTTATTTATTAAACTATGATATCATATCAAAGGCAATGATAGTTGAAAATCTTACTAAGTAACAAAAGAGATAAGGGACGAAAAGCTCTTTAGGATGCATCTAAAAGTTTTCTGGCATTAGAAGGTAACTATAAGAATGTGGAAGTAAATAGTTGGGTTCTTCTCGTAGATAAATAGTAAAGGTACGGGGGGATACAAGTAAATAAACCAGAAGCCAATTTTTTTGTTTAATCCTAACTATTCTCGGCATTTCCCCTGAAGTTGGTACATAGATGTAAATCATGCAAGTAACTCGTGCCTCAAGTTTCTCTCCATGAAATGTCTTTCAATCTCATTATGATCATTCTTGTCGTATTTTACTTAATTATGCGCATCTTTATGCTTAATACTGCTCTGTTGTCATAATAGAACTTCATTTGCTTGTTTTTTAAACCCTTCAGTAGCCTTTGCAGCCACAAATCTCATAAACTCTATTAGCTATTGGCATATACCCGGCTTCAAGACTGGGTTAGCATTTGAGTTAGAGCCCTAATTCTAAAATTATCTTTATATATCCCGTATTTGAGTTAGAATTATTACACGAGTCAAAATAAGATTCTTCCATCAAAATAAAAACAAGAATTTGCTGCTGAAGAATTTCCTAATTTTCCTATAAACAAAAGATTTGAAGAACTAGGATTCAAATTATAGTCTAATGAAACATATACATTTGAAGAATTTGCTTGCATTTATGTGTCCTCTCTCTGTTGTACATATACACACTTGTAAAGACCTTAAACATTAGATTTTTATTTCTAGTACTTATGGTGGTAGTAACATGACTGAATCTATTACAGTAACTGCATCTGTACCTGTTCAAAATCAAGTGGCTGCACAGAAACTTCTCCAGAAAACAACAGGTCAGCAGAATTTTTCTAGAGGTCAGAGGCATAATAGGGAAAGGTTTCAAGAGGAAGAATCATCTTTGATGACTCTCGATGAATGGGAAAGAAGAAGAACAAGAACAGGAATTGATCTTCCAACATCACACGACCATTCTAATATCCGTCAAGACGAGGATCTTGCTAGACAACTGCAGGAGCAATTTGATTTGGAAGATATTCATGTAATTCTCTCTCTCTATTTTATTTCTCCTCCTTCTGAATAATGATGTGTCATGCAGAGTAACCTTATTCTTGTTATGGTGTTAGCTTCACAAAATTTTGCTCCCATTCCTTATAAGTAGTTGGGAAGATCTACGTTTTTTAGCTTCTATCTATAGCTACTGTATTGTGTGATTGAGCCACTTTTCTTTTTCTTCTTTTTTTTTTTAAATTGTAGATAAGAGTTTATTTCTCGTAATCTGTCCATGTAAATACAGAAAATTTATTTGGCCAGTATCTGATATTCTTTTCAACATGTGTAGGGACAAGAGGGTCCTCAAGTGACGGAGGCTAAAAGTATACAAATGAGCATGTTCAATTTTGAAAGAGATGACGCCAATTCTTTCGGTGGAACCGAATTTAGAGGCAGGGGAAGGGGCAGAGGAAGAGGAAGAGGAAGGGGAAGGAGAGGTGGCGGTAGAGGTAGAGGTCACTTTTAAATCATTTTTTTCCCGATTTCCTTTCCCTTTCCTCTTTTTGTTTGCAGACTACACTGTTTAACTTTGAATATTCAATTTGCGTATTTTAGCATAAGCGGATCGAACAATAGGTACATATTAATTTACAAACTGCAGTATCCCTAGTTTTAGCTGATCTCTTTCTCGTTGATATATATATATATATATATATATATATATATGTTAAAGTTTTAATTAATACATAAAAAGTGTTATAAATCTACTAAAGAAATGCAAAGGAAACAAGGAATTGAGACATGAAATATGCATGGAGAAGAGAACATTTGTTCTTGTTCTTTCTTATTCTGAAGTGTGTATTGAACTTATTATAAATAATAGCATCTATTTATCTCTATATATACCTCTACCAACTTTAAAAGCATGAATATTTTTTGTTTATTAACATTTTTGTGTTTACTATTATGCCCATTTTAGTAAAGATATACCATCAATTAGTTAGGGTAAATTGTGTAATAACAAAAATGAAAATAATAAATTAACATAGCTTAATTATGTAGTTTAAATATCAAATGTCTTTTAATCTGCTATATTTATACTAAGGTGAGAGTTTATTTTCTCCTTATTGTTATCATTTCTGCGTATTGTAATTTTTGGTGTAACTTAATTTATATAAAACTACATTTGAAGAGTTTTCCAATGATTTATTATAAGCATATAAATGTAACAGTTTATTTTAAAATAAATTATTTTGTTTTAAGTTGAGCATTAAATACCCAAATTAGTTTCAAATTTCAAATTAGTTCTCATATAATTTTTATCACGTAAATTCCACAAATATGAAAATATAATAATATAAACTCAAACTAATTATCATTTACTGATACCAGTAATAATATATATATTATGTTATATTAAAAGTACGATAATCTTTTCATATACTATAATTTATTTCGAAAGTCGAAATTTATTTTCTTAAATTCTTAAATAAAATGTATTTGAATTAAAACTCATAATAGAGTTTTTTAGTGACATATCATAACATATAAGTGAACGTTATCGAGTTAATTCAGGATTATATAGAAACTAGTAAGACACCCGTGCGATGCACGGGGTATTCATCATAAAAGCAAATACTTAATAATATAACGGTTCTCGAAATAGTAAAATCAATTGTTGATATGTAATATAAAGTTACAGAAAATATTAAAAAAGAAAACTCAACATCGAAGGTTTTAATTTCCGCATACAAAGAGCGAATATATCGTTGGTCCCAAACTTACACAACCATAATGACATATGAACGTTCATAACTTGAATTTGATCCAAACAAGCACAATAATTATGTATGATACCAATCGCCCTAAACGCGTGTATTGAATCCAATACAGTGCAATTTTAGGAAAGGTTTTGAAAATACATATCAATTCATTGAAACAACAGATGAGAATTCCGTCAGTTGTGTTGTTTCTGGAATAACGAGTTCTATTAAAATAAGGTTTTAACTCATTTTCTATTTTTCCTTCAAAATGATCGTTTTTCCAAGTTCATTAAGGTTTTTTGAGTTTTAATAGCAATTAAAAAACTCTACCCCTATAAAAACAGTCAGAGGAACAATACTCATGAGCTAGCTCATCAATCACATCAGATTTCGGTGATCTGTCGTCTTTTTGACACTTAAAAATTCAATTTTGCTATTTTAGGAAAGTTTAAAAAAATTCATATCAATTCATTGAAAAATTAGATGAGGATTCCGTCAGTTGCGCTGTTTCTGGAATTGGGAGATCTATTATAATTAGGTTTTAACTCATTTTCTATTTTTAATGCAAAATGATCGTTTTTCCAGGTTTATTAAGGTTTTATGAGTTTGAATAACACGTTATAAACCCCATCCCAAGCAAACCAGACCGACGAACAAAACTCATGAGATTTGCTCATGAATCACATCAGGGTTCAGGGATCCGGCGTCGTTTCTTCTCTTAAAAATTAAATTTTGCTATTTTAGGAAAGTTTCAAAAAAATCATATCAATTCATTGAAAATTAGATGAGGATTCCGTCAGTTGCGCTGTTTCTGGAATTGGGAGATCTATTATAATTAGGTTTTAACTCATTTTCTATTTTTTATGCAAAATGATCGTTATTCTAGATTTATTAAGGTTTTAGGAGTTTAAATAGCACGTTATAAACCCCATCCCAAGCAAACCAGACCGACGAACAAAACTCATGAAATTGGCTCATGAATCACGTCAGGTTTCGTTGATCTGGCGTCATTTGGTCTCTTAAAAATTAAATTTTATTATTTTATGAAAGTTTTAGAAAATTCATATCAATTCATTGAAACATCATATGAGGATTCTGTCTGTTGTGTTGTTTCTGGAATTGTGAGTTCTTTTTAAATTAGATTTTAACTCATTTTCCATTTTTCTTTCAAAATGATCGTTTTTCCGGGTAGATTAGGGTTTTTTGAGTTTGAATAGAAATTAAAAAACTCTACCCCTAGAAAAACAGCAAGACGGACAATACCCATGAGCTTGCTCATGAATCACGTCAATTTCGGTGATCCGATATCGTTTCGCCACTTAAAAATGAAATTATGCTATTTTAGGAATGTTTTAGAAAATTCATATCAATTCATTGAAACATTTGATGACGATTCCGTCAGTTGCATTGTTTCTGCAACAGCGAGTTGCATTGTTTCTGCAATTGCGAGTTCTATTAAAATTAGGTTTTTATTCATTTTCTATTTTTCCTACAAAATGATCGTCTTTCCAGGTTTATTAAGGTATTTTGATTTTGAATAGCACGTTAAAATCCCCATCCAAAGCAAAACACACCAACGAACAAAACTCATGAGCTACGCTCATGAATCACGTCAGGTTTCGGTGATCCGACGTCTTTTCGTCTCTTCAATTATATTTTTGCTATTTTATGAATGTTTTAGAACAATCATATCAATTCATTGAAACACCAGATGAGGATTTCGGCAGTTGCGTTGTTTCCGGAATTGCGAGTTCCATTAAAATTATGTTTTAACTCAGTTTCTATTTTTCCTTCAAAGTGAATGTTTTTCTTAAGGATTTTTTAGTTTTAATGGCAATAAAAAAATTCTACCCCTACAAAAACAGCAAGACGAACAATACTCATGACCTCGCTCATGAATGACGTCAGGTTTCGGTGATCCAACTTCGTTTCGCCACTTAATAATGAAATTTTTCTATTTTAGGAAAGTTTTAGAAAATCCATATCAATTCATTGAAACATCAGAAAAGGATTCTGTTACTTGCGTTATTTCTATAATTGCGTGTTCTATTAAAATTAGATTTTAACTCATTTTCTACTTTTCCTTCAAAATGATCGTTTTTCTAGGTTTATTAAGATTTTTGGAGTTTTAATTGCAATTAAAAAACTCTACCTGTATAAAAGCAGTCAGACAAGCAATACTCATGAGCTTGCCCATGAATCACATCAGATTTTGGTGATCTGACGTCTTTTTGACACTTAAAAATTAAATTTTGCTATTTTAGGAAATTTTAGAAAATTCATATATATTAATTGAAACATTAGATGAAGATTTCGTCCATTGCGTTGTTTCTGTAATTGGGAGATTTATTTTAATTAGGTTTTAATCCATTTTCTATTTTTTCTTCAAAATGATCGTTTTTCCAGTTTTATTAAGGTTTTTTGAGTTTGAATAGCACGTTATAAACATCCCAAGCGAAAACAGACTGACGAATAAAACTAATGAGCTTGGCTCATGAATCACGTCAGGTGTCGATGATCCGTAGTCGTTTCCTCTCTTAAATTAAATATTGCAATTTTAGGAATGTTTTAGAAAAGTCATATAAATTCATTCAAACATCAGATGAGGATTTCGTCAGTTGAGTTGTTTATGGAATTGCGATTTCTATTAACAGTAGGTTTTAACTCATGTTCTATTTTTCCTTCAAAGTGAATGTTTTTCCAGGTTTTTTGAGTTTTAATGGCAATAAAAAAATTCTACCCCTATAAAAAAAGCTAGACGAACAATACTCATGAGCCCGCTCATGGATCAGGTCAGGTTTCGGTGATCCGACATCGTTACGCCACTTAATAACGATTTTTTTTTTCTATTTTAGGAAAGTTATAGAAAATTCATATCAATTCATTGAAACATCAGATGAGGATTCCGTCAGTTGCGTTATTTCTGGAATTGCTTGTTCTATTAAAATTAGGTTTTAACTCATTTTCTATTTTTACTTCAAAATGATCGTTTTTCTAGGTTAATTAAGTTTTTTTAGTTTTAATAGCATTTAAAAACTCTACCCCTATAAAAACAGTCAGACGAGCAATACTCAAGAGCTTGCTAATGAATCACATCAGATTTCGGTGATCTAACGTCTTTTTGACGCATAAAAGTTAAATTTTGTGTTTTAGGAAATTTTAGAAAATTCATATAAATTCTTTGAAACATTAGATGAGGATTCCGTCCATTGACTTGTTTCTGGAATTGGGAGATCTATTATAATTAGGTTTAACTCATTTTCAATTTTTTTCTGCAAAATGATCGTTTTTCCAGATTTATTAAGGTTTTTTGAGTTTGAATAGCAGATTAAGAATCACATCCCAAGCGAAACAGACCGACGAATAAAACTAATGAGCTTTGCTCATGAATCACGTTAGGTTTCGGTGATCCGGCGTCGTTTCGTCTCTGAAATTAAATTTTGCAATTTCAGGAATGTTTCAAAAAAGTCATATCAATTCACTGAAACATCAGGTGAGGATTTCGTTTGTTGCGTTGTTTATGGAATTGCGATTTTTATTAAAAGTAGGTTTTAACTAATGTTCTATTTTTTCCTTCAAAGTGAATGTTTGTCCAGGTTTATTAAGGTTTTTTGAGTTTTAATGGCAATAAAAAAATTATACCCCCATGAAAACAGCAAGACGAATAATACTCATGAGCTCCCTCATGAATCACGTCAGGTTTCTCAAGGTTCAAATCGTATCGAAACTTTAATAAAGACCATTTTTCCAAGCATTTCTTAGTTAAGTAAAAGTCATGGAGGGTGTTATATATATATATATATATATATATATATATATATATATATATATATATATATATATATATATATATATATATATATATATATATATATATATATATTATTTTTTGAACAATTTTCTCGTAGCCCTAGGTGTTTTTAAGTAAATTTTCTTTATATTTCGTGGACGGCTTTTTAGTTTTATATGATAGTAAAAACCACCCACCCAATCAGAAAGATGATGGAGGAGAGGTTTAAGATGATGAAGGAAAGATAAGTTTTTAGAAGTAGTAAAGGACTCATGACATTATTTTTAGTAGGTGTCAGTGGTCAATTATGTAAGGTGGTCAGACAATTGGTGGTGATGGTGGTGAACAGAATCGTGGAAATACTAAGCAAAAACGTGGAGGTGGCGGTGGTGACGGAGGTGGAGGTGCTGGGGAAGATGGTGGCGGAGGCGATGGAGGTGGTGGAAGTAGAGGTGGAGGTGGAGGTCGACAAAATATCAGTGATGGTTGTGGAGGCGGCTATGCAGATCCAAGTGGTGGTGGTGGTGGTGGTGGATGTGGAGGAAGAGACCGACAAAATATTGATGGCGGTGGAGATAGACAATATATCGGTGACAATACTAGTAGAGTGGGTAAATTTGGAGGGTATACTATGCATGGACCATGGTCGAAACTGAGCATTAATAGTCGCAATCGACGTAGGCAAAAGTACTATTAAAACCCATAACACCTTAAGTTTGTTGCAGAAATGGATTAATAATAAGTGCTTTTCGTAATTTTTCTAATAGCTGACTTATTTCTTGAGTGATGCTATTTCCACTACCAAAAAAACTCTCAATTCACAACCATCTTTGAAATACTCAATTTCACCTCCCTATTTCTGCGAATTAGTGTAGTGCACCCAAGATTCAAGATTTTAGTTCAACAATCACTAATCAAATTGAAAATTCTATCCACAACTTAAATAATCATTGACAGCTTTCAGTATCCGATAATATCTACGATCACAATATCATAACCAAATCGTAGTTTAAACTCATAAATACAGCAAAAAAAAAAAAAAACAGGGTACTTAAATAATAACTAATTCAACACGATCGGGTATTTCTGCTGCAAGTTCTTCATTGGCTCGACTCCTTGCAGTTTGTATAGAAACTGAACTAATACGGGGAATTTGCTCACGGAAGAAAAATGTTCGGGGATCAATAATCAATTTCTCAAGATTGACAAAATTCTCCAAAAAGTAGCTCACCAGATCAATACGAATTTTGTGACCACTATAGCCATGAAACTTGACAACCTTAATTTGCTTGTGTGGAAACCTCGTAATACTCTTCAACGTTGAAATACAAGACGAGTGTAACTGCATATAGTGTCGGACAAAAGAAAAATCCAAGAGGTAAGTTTGTGCTGCTGATAAAAATGAAAATATCAAAACAAAACTAACTTGAGTGACAAATTAATTACGTTTAAAACAAATTCATGTATGTAAGGTGCTGCACTTATCAAATAAGGGAGCAGATCGACACTTTCTTCATTCATCGCCCGATATCCAACCACCAACTTCTTCAATCTAGGCATTTCGGGAAACTCGCATAGCTCAATACCTTTCTGCGATTTTAAATCAAATCACGGAAAAAGAATAGAAATTAATAATATAATTCACAAAATAAAACCGTATCGATAATAACAACCCACAAATTCAATTGTGTCCAACCTTTGGGTTTTGAAGAACCTTCAACGTAAGAACCTCCAATTGCAAATTGCAGCAAGAAATTGCGTCACATAATTTTTCTCCGGAAATTTCACCGAAACCCCAAGGAAGAGACAATTCAACAAGCATCGGGACATTTTCGAGTATGAGTTCTTCAAGTTCTTGAACAGTAAGCGAAACAAGATTCGGAGCGGAAACCCTAACGAGTTTCAAATTCCGGCAGTAACATATCTCTAAGCGTTTCAAAACGAGCGACGAGCCACAAACTTCGACATTTGACAATTCTTTCGATTCGTGGACAATCAATTCTTCGAGCAAAGGGCAGTTCAGTAAAAAGAACTCAATCGCTTCATCATTCACATCGATAAATTTCAAAGTCAACGCTTTGAGGGGCTTAAAGTCAACACTAGTGCTCCGAGTGAGAAACTTGTGGGGAAAAGCACAAGTTAGGCCAGGATAGCTTAAACTCTCGTCATACTTGGGCGAAAAATTCAATTCCAAGATTGGAACTTTTTTAGCGGAAGCATATTCGAGCCACTGAGTGACTTCATCCACACGCAATGTATACTCATTGTATCCCCTTGTATCAGAACCACTTATATCATAACGGATTATAAATTTGTTCAAAGTGACGGCTTCATGGGATTGGAGGACAAAGTTCACCCGATTTACAAACTTTCCCCTCTCCATTTCGGATAACTTTTTGCGGTTTGCAGTTGCGCGGCCAATGTATGCATCAAACTTGAGAGAAGAGGTGTGTTTCCACAAGTTTATCCAACGGGATGAAAGAACACTAGTTCGTGCAGCTTCAATTGGCGATAGGAAAGATAGGATAGCCACGAGAATGTCATCCGGTAACCGATTTATCCGATCATTATCGAGCTATAGTAAAAAAAGATAAAAAAAATCCCATCGGATAAAAAAAAAAAACATTGCAATTGTATTATTGGACCATGGAAGGACGAACAAATAATTTCCGCAAGAGGCAAGATAGGATGAGATAAAATGTTATTTCGGGCCGACCCAGAAAATTATTGAATTTACCAAACATCAAACAAAGTCCAATTATTGAAATAATCATGGTAATATCCCCAACTAAACTATACCTAACAGGATAATTGTTTTTCCTTCTCCCCACTACGAAAACACTCTGGTTTTTGTACATTGCAGTTTTCATCGAAAGGAAATTATCAGACATAATCACCTCATAACTTAATAGGGCAAATTACGGCCACCCCTGAGGTATGGCCAAATTACGAAAACCCTCCTCTTGTTTGGGTAATTACAGCCACCTCTCCTTTAAATATTTTTACATAAAATTTATGTAATTCGATTATTTATCGAACCAAATCGTATATTCAGTTCGATAAACGGTACGAAATGTTGGCGTACCTAAATCTCGGTTCGATTTTACCGAATTAACATCCCTAAATTTACCTCTGGAGGGGTTTTTTCGTAAGATAATACATAGTTGAAGGGGTGGCTATAATTACCCAAACAGTAGGGGTTTTCGTAATTTGACATTAACTCGGGGTGGCCGTAATTTGCCCTAACTTAATACCGTTGTGATTATATTTTGCAACAATTAATAAGATGAATAAAGAAGAAAATAAAATGATTTTGATTCTGCAAAAACTTAATTCCCTTTTCCCCTTATTCATCACAGTACTCAATTTACAGGGCTTACAAGCAATATACGAAATTGGTGATCATAATCACCACAGAACATAATCAATTGATTTATTCATCTTCCTTTTGTTCAAATTGAAGAAAGAAAAACAAAAACCCAGTATCAGCCGAGAAAATTAGGGTTTAGTTGCAAATTTTAGTAACAAATATCGGATAAAAAGGCACAGTTTTAATGGAAGCTGACCTTCATCTTGGATTGAAACTTGGAATCAATTTCCAAACTCATTGAGCTTCGACCAAAAAACCTCGAAATTACAACAATAATAAATTCTCCAATCCAAAATATAAATAGTAATTTTTTTATTCTTTTTTTCTCTGAAGCGATTTTGTCGCAGTGAAATTCTAACATGAACAGGTAAGAAGCCTTAAGTTCGGGCCGCTGCTCTTGGAGCCCGCATTCGACATTGGGCCTTTGATAGTGATTCTCATTAAAATTTTGTTACAAGTCCTTTTATGTTATAATTTATGTCTATAAATTCAAATCAAAATTTTCATGTTTTAATATATTAATAATATTTATTGTGGTAAAATTACTCTTAATCGAATCAAATCAAATCAAATTTCTCAAACATTTCTCTATCTAAACAAATTCTTAAATACATCTCTTTCAAATATTAACTAAAAAATTAAATTAATTTTTTTAAACAAATATACTATTTAATTTACAAACTCAAACTCTAAAACGCCACCGCAGCTTATGATTTCGTGAACCGCGACGTTTATGACTATATGAACTGCAAATAACAAAATGAAAAATTAGAATTCATATTACTGAATTGCGAACAACAAAATACATATAATTTCGCCAAATTCAAACAGCAAACTGAAAAAAAAATCCAAAATTTGTTTTATTGAATTGCAAACAAAAAACTACATATGATTTCGCCAAATGCAAACAGCAACTGAAGAGAGAAAATCAGCAGAACTTTCATTATTAAACTGCTAGCAATAAATACCTATGACTTCGCCAAATGCAAACATCAAATTGAGAAAAAAAAAATCAGTATCATTAAAACATCAACAAAAAAAGTGTTTATGGAACACGTTGCAAACAACAAAAATATTTAACAAAGTGTTTGTAAAATATAACTTAAGACATACCTTGCAAATTGTAAACCAAATGAATCGAATCTCAACACTAAACGCAATTCTTCATACAACAAACAAAGTCAAACCAGCCTGCAAACGGAAATTACTAACAACAAACGATTGGAAGTATCTACATAGGAAAGACACAATACGAATTTTGACTGGAAAAAAAATTGGGAGGAAGGAGGGGATTTTTGTGGTCCTCTTTAATTCTTTCACCCTCATAATCTAAAAAGTCTTTTTTTTTTTTCTTTCTCTACAATATCTCTTCATCAAAAAAATAAGGAAAATATAAAAAAAAAAAAATAGAAGAACGAGAGAGAGAGAGAGAGAGAGAGAGAGAGAGAGAGAGAGAGAGAGAGAGAGAGAGAGAGAGAGATATGGGATTAAATATATACGTGAGATTGGAGTGAGATAGAGTGAGTGATATATGAGATTTGCTTTATTATTAATTGAGGGTGTTTACGTCTATATACCAATTATTTTATTTTATTTATATTATTCTCCTGGGTCAAAGAACCTATGCCTATATTCATCTAGCAATTAGGATCTCCACTCATATAAATCCAACATAAGGGGTGCCTTACAAATTTTCCCAAAATTTTAAAGGATAGTTAAAATAGTTGAATTGCGTTTTGCACTATTAAAGACTCCAACTTATCACCCCGGAACCAGTTGAGCTACACCCCATGCGGGCCGTTTTGCACTATTACTATTATTAGTACCATTACTATTAGGGTAAATTCCACTTTATCCCCTCGTACTCTGCCCAATAACCATTTTACCCCCTCGTACTCTTAATTTCGTCGATTTACCCCCTTGTACTTGTACAATTTCCCAATACAACCCTCTTCGTCATTTTTTTTCAATTTTGACTCTGACGCCATTTGGTCAAGAGTCAAAATATTGACGTACATATTGAATTTTTTCGATTTTGACTCTCGAGATTAGAAAAGAGAAAATTTCACACATTCATATATTTTTTTCTTTGCACTGGGTGGAATCAATCAATTTTTTGGTCTTGATTTTTACTAAGTTAGGGGTTCAATTTGGGGATATCTTGGAAGGGGAAGTGGTGGGAGAAGAAGAAATGACAATATTGACGGAGAAGAAACGACGCGTTATAGGCAGTAGCAATTTTGTAATTACAGAGTTGACCAAACGGCGTCAGAGTCAAAATTGACAAAAGTTGAAGGAAATGGCTGTATTGGAAAATTGTACAAGTAAAAGGGGTAAATCGATAAATTTGAGAGTACGAGAGGGTAAAGTGATTTTCAGGCAGAGTACGAGGGGGTAAAGTGAAATTTACACTTATTATTACTAGCAACTGTGCCCCATGCATTGCACGGGCAGCATTAATAATTGTAATAAGAAATCTATTGAACAAATATTAAAATATTTAGCTGTGAAATTTAAATTATATTTTTATTACTTTATTTAACATGTTCCATAATTTTACTCACGTAAAGTTTTGTTGTTGTAGCATATATTTTTTCGTACTACGATAAATATATAATTTTAGTGTTATAAAATTATGTTAGACAATAAATAATACATATTTAACAAATGAAACATTCTTTACTGGTCGATTTAGCACCATCTAAACAGTATTAACTTGTAATGTCACGGGAAGAAAACCTATGGAATAAGATAAATGTAGACTAACAAAGTGAAAATATATACATGAACATGTGAAGGTTAACCATAAAAATAGAGTTTAAATAAAATAACAATATTTACAAACAACAACTACATGAACATATGATTTTTCATGACACGTAGATGAAATAGAAGATCATATGTTCTACACAAAAAATCTTAGCACCTCTTTATTAAGTCAACCCTGCACAAAATGTACAAACAATATGCACGAGAATGTCGATGTATTATATATATTTGTATAGTAAGTGCAGAAAATACTAACACCGATGAAATGAAAGTATTGTATAGTAAAAGATCAAACGGGGTTATTCACAATTGTTGAAAAATGACGTAGGCGTGGAGATTAGGAATTGAAATAACCATTGGTTGAGGGTTGCGAAGCCGTGTAGCGATAACACGCTAAACCTATTAGCCGTATCTCTATGTATCTTTATTAATATATATATATATATATTATAGATAAATATTGTATTATTGGTATATATATCTCCTAGTTTCCTTGTGTAAAGGGTTAGGGTTTTCACACATGTAATATATATATCACAATAAACGTGAGAGATATTTATTCTCTCTTCTCTCAAAATATTTACCTTCTATCATGGTATCAAGCCAGAAACCCTAAGCCGCCGTTTCTCTTCTTCTTTAATTTTTTTTTTCTCGTCTTTCTCGTTCTTTCTTCTTCTCTTCATCCACCATGACCAACGAAATACCAACACCGACCATGATTTCCAACCCGTTTCATCTTGCTCAGGCTATATCTAACATCAAAGCCCTTAATCCTGTGACATTGGATATTAAAAATCCGAATTATCAAAAGTGGAGCCACTTCTTCACCATCACCGCAGGCCGCTTCTGTCTCTCCGATCTCCTTCTCGGCAAAGAAAAGCCCGTCAACATCTCTGCCGATGAGTGGCAACGCGCGGATTACCTCCTCCAATCTTGGATCTATGGCACCATAACCGAGGACCTCTCGAGCATGGTTCTCTCCAAAACCGCAATGGCTCATGATCTGTGAAAGGCCCTCGCCTCTCTCTTTACAGACAACGAAGACTATCGGGCTATCTGTTGAGTGTAGATTTTACACTCAATACGTTTACTTTACGTTGATCTTTTGTTTAGATTTAATTATATTTGTGCTTTAATTGATTGATTTTGTGTTTTATATGTGAAAAACGAGAATTAGGTGTCCATGAAGGCAAAAAGATCAAAAAGAAAGGAAAAAGTTGCAAATAAGGAAACAAATCAAATTGGAAGAAGGAATCTCGCCACAGCTTTGACAGTGTCCACGATTTCGAGCATATCTCTCTCATACGAACTCCGAATTAGGTGATTTTGGCGGCATTGGAAAGCTAATTTCAAGGGCTACAATTCTTATTTACAGAATATTCCAAAATTCGGACTCCAACATGGCGAAAATCGAAGAACAAGTCCTGATGGGGGAAAGTGGCGGAAATTGATTCCTATTAGGTTTCTACTACTTCCTTATCAAGAAAAGCCTATAAAAGCAACATGTCTCTACACCATAAGCACGAAATTTTACACCACAAAACGCGAAGAACGAAGAATAACGAAGGCTCAAGCATAGTTTTTCTTATTTATTTTATTTATTCTATTTTGTTTATCATAAGAATTACGAGTAGCTAAGTTTTTAATCTAGGATTTTGTTGGAACCCTATGTGGGGATGGTGAACCCGTTTTCTTGAGATTATGCGATTATGATTTTATGATTATTTCTTCTACTTGTTATGATTGTTAGTGCATGAACTTGATCAATTTATGTGCTTTATATGTGATTATTGGGATTGACTCGACAGAGCTATTTTGATAATTAGACGGTAAGTATAAGAACCTTCGAGTAGTTTTCACCGGATGAGTGTGTCAATTGCATGTGGTGTCGTAGACATACAGATATCACCTTAGGTAGCCATTTACGAGACTTGTTAGTTAATGCTTTATTCATAATTTGTTTGCATAGACATATAGTGAACCGTTTATGAATAATAGACTCATAATACACGCGACAACGGGTTATGAGTAAATTAGTGTCTCGGGTTAATAATCCTGAATCATATATTTCATAATTGAGGGGTTTGGGTGAGCAATTCTTGCATAGGGGGAAGACAAAATCCTAGATCCGTTTTTATTGATATTTTCTCGTGTTTATTTGCTTTCATAATTAGTTTAATTATTTAGTTGATTAAATTTGACAACTTTGCGTAGGCTGGATAAAAATCATAATTGTTAGAATTTGGTACTTAGGATTAGATAATTTGAGTATTCCCTGTGGGATCGACATCCGACTCTCACGAGTCCACTTTTACTACTTGTTTGCGATACGTGCACTTGCGTGTTAGGTATTTAGCACCCAACAAGTTTTTGGCGCCGTTGCCGGGGAATACGGCTAAATTATCTATTTATTCTAATATCAAATTTGAGCAATTTTTCTTACTTCAGCCATTTAATTTTTATTTTTATTTTTATTTTTAATTTTGATTTTTTTGTTTTTTTTTTTACATGTCTGGTTACAATGTTGGGGCACCTCAAACGGGATATGAATGGCTTCCATCTGACGAATACCTCCAAAACACCTATGATATGCCTCCGTTTTGTTCAGCATGTGGTGGAAATCATTTTTCCGATCAATGTTGGGGATCACCAAAGGCGACAAATTTCGTCGAAATTACCAACGGAGGTTATTGGAACACTTACACCAACACATACGAGCAAAGCTTTCAAGACGAAGATTTGAACGAGTTTCAACATAGAGAGCCACAAATTGATGATTTTCAAAATTATTATCCAATGCAGCAGACCACTGATGAACAACTTGATTTGGTATCCCTTATTGCCGAATTCATGAAGTCCACTCAAGCATCATTTCAAAACATGGAGATACAACTGGAAGAGATGACTCTCAAATTAAAATCTGAGTCTCTTGAAAATATTCCAAACGAAATCGGCAATGGTTATATCAAAGAAAATTCGGGTGAAGCCTGCGGTGAGAAAAATCTTCTATGTCCGGAAAATAGTGTCGATGTGAGAGAACTAGAAATTACGAAGACACTTGAGCATGATGAATCTGAGAAGGAAATCGAGCTAAACCACGAAGATGCCTCAGAACAAGAGAAGAAGGAGATGGATGTAATGATTGAAGATGTTCTAGTTGTGGACCCTGTCGTTGATCTAAATGTAGATTTGAAGGCATCAATAGAGGTTGATGAGAAGACGAATGTGTTTGAAGTGGAGGTTATACGCGGATGTGAGGTTTTTATGTACCGATTTGAGGGAGCGGGTGATGAAGATCCCATCTTAGCTTCGTACCGATTGATTACAACCAAGAAAGACTACAAGCTAAGGTGGACCCTGATATATTGCAATGTTATCCATGCCTTGGTTGCAATTGAAGTGATAGAGCTCATGGATGGATGCGCAATCTACAAGGCTTTGGATTGGACATAACAGTTTTAAGAAGCAAAGTCTGGCTGAAGACTTAAAACTTAGCGCTTCTCGGGAGGCAACCCAAGCATTTATCGATTTTCGTATTTTTATTTATTTTTTATTTTTCTTAGGATTTTAGCATGCGCAAACTAATAATTTAATCTTGTTTTAATTTTTAGGTCGAAAATCAAACACTAAGGGATCGGACGTTAAATGTGGATTAAACGAACATCAAAGAGTGCATCCCGGAGAAGGACCTTTCGACTAATCAGGTGTATTCTATCCTTGAACTTTGTTCTAATTGCATTGAGGACAATGTAAATTTTAAGTTTGGGGGTGGAAAATTACTTGTTTTTATGTGCTTTAATTTTTTAGTTTGCATGCCTTAGGATTTTATCTTATTTTTTTCGTTTATTTATTGTTTTCTTAAAAAAAAAAAAAATAATAAATAAAAAAAAAAAAAAAAAAAAATTGCTTGAGTCGAACGCATCGATGAGTTATGATGATGAGAGATGATCAATGTTTAATGATGAAATTGCTTGTTTTGTTGTGCTAAGGATTAGATGTTTGTTTAGCTTTCGATTCAACGGAACTTAGAAACGAATTATTGCTAGGAATCACACTTTGTGCATTGTTTTGGTTGAATGTTTTGTATTTTAAATTTGGAGTTAATTTGTGTTAGATCATGATATGTTCGGTTTTAGACCTCACCTTAGGAAATTTATGATACGAAGTATTGAGTAGTGAGTGATTTGGGATATGATTTGGGCCTTCTTTGATCCGTTTGAGCCTTTCAAGCCGACATTTTTATCGAAATTTTCCTTAAAACCTTGATTTGAGCCTCGGAGAAAAGGTGTTCTTTCTTTTAGGCAATGTGTATAAGGTAGAATAGATGGAGATTCTTGAAAAATTACCCCTTGGAGTTCGGTTGAAAAATTTTATAAGGTCCTTCTTCTTCCCCGGAAAAAAAAAAAAAAAAAAAAAAAAAAAAAAAAGAAAAGAAGAAGAAAAATATATATGTGTCTATTTTTCTAAAAAAAAAAAGAAGAAAAAAAAAAAGAGAACAAGAAGAGACTAGAAGGGAGAAGTAAGGACTAGTTGTTGAGTTGTTTTGAAAGCTCGATCCATTATCTTAAGAGGAAAAGTGGAGACTTTTGAACTCTTAAGAATCGAGTTTATTAAAGTCCTTAGAGGTGACTTCATTGTTTCAAACGCTTATATTTCAAATTTTGGCGTAATCACCTCAATTCAAGAAGAATAGCCACATATACCCATATTTCCTACCTCGAACCAAAAAGCCTAACAATTGAAAGCCAAAAAGCCCTAATGATCCCAATAGCTTAATGTTCGATATTAGTAGAGTAATATATTTTGGTGAGTATTTGGATTCAAACATATACATGTAAGCATAACTTTTTTCTATCTTTAATTTACAAATATTGGATGCTTGAAGCAATTGCATGATTTGTGGTTTTTGGCTATGGTAAGTGACTAAGTGCTTTTGAATTTTGAGCTTGCGAATGCCTATGAATTTTCATTATAATTACAAGTTCTGAAAACGTGAGGTTGGTCATTAATCTATGTGATAAGATGCGGTAGTTGAGTTATTTGCTTACGATTAGAGATTGCTTGACGACAAGCAAAACTTCAAGTTTGGGGGTGTGTTGAGTGTAGATTTTACACTCAATACGTTTACTTTACGTGGATCTTTTGTTTAGATTTAATTATATTTGTTCTTTAATTGATTGATTTTGTGTTTTATAGGTGAAAAACGAGAATTAGGTGTCCATGAAGGAAAAAAGATCAAAAAGAAAGGAAAAAGTTGCAAATAAGGAAACAAATCAAATTGGAAGAAGGAATCTCGCCACAGCTTTGACAGTGTCCACGATTTCGAGCATATCTCTCTCATACGAACTCCGAATTAGGTGATTTTGGCCGCATTGGAAAGCTAATTTCAAGGGCTACAATTCTTATTTACAGAATATTCCAAAATTCGGACTCCAACATGGCGAAAATCGAAGAACAAGTCCTGATGGTGGAAAGTGGCGGAAATTGATTCCTATTAGGTTTCTACTACTTCCTTATCAAGAAAAGCCTATAAAAGCAACATGTCTCTACACCATAAGCACGAAATTTTACACCACAAAACACGAAGAACGAAGAATAACGAAGGCTCAAGCATAGTTTTTCTTATTTATTTTATTTATTCTATTTTGTTTATCATAAGAATTACGAGTAGCTAAGTTTTTAATCTAGGATTTTGTTGGAACCCTATGTGGGGATGGTGAACCCGTTTTCTTGAGATTATGCGATTATGATTTTATGATTATTTCTTCTACTTGTTATGATTGTTAGTGCATGAACTTGATCAATTTATGTGCTTTATATGTGATTATTGGGATTGACTCGACAGAGCTATTTTGATAATTAGACGGTAAGTATAAGAACCTTCGAGTAGTTTTCACCGGATGAGTGTGTCAATTGCATGTGGTGTCGTAGACATACAGATATCACCTTAGGTAGCCATTTACGAGACTTGTTAGTTAATGCTTTATTCATAATTTGTTTGCATAGACATATAGTGAACCGTTTATGAATAATAGACTCATAATACACGCGACAACGGGTTATGAGTAAATTAGTGTCTCGGGTTAATAATCATGAATCATATATTTCATAATTGAGGGGTTTGGGTGAGCAATTCTTGCATAGGGGGAAGACAAAATCCTAGATCCGTTTTTATTGATATTTTCT